GGATCTGCTTCTACCTTATCCTGCATTTAAAGTCCGTTGTCCTGAGCTGGGCATGGTGTTATATGCCTTTATTGTCAGCACTCAGGAGGCTGAGACAGGAGGATGGTGAACTCCAGGCCAGTATGGGTAAGCTATAGGGTGAGACCCTGTTTCAAAATATGAAACATGGGCTGGCAAAGCGGCTCAGTGGGTAAAGGGCTTGCCGCCAAGCTGGATGACCTGAACTCCATCCCCAGGACCCACATGGCAGATGGAGAGAACCACCGCTTGCAAACTGTCCTCTGATGTGTGTGCACCCACACAAACACACAAAAAATACATTTAATTTTTGAAAAGCAAGACAAAATAAAAACACATTGTTGTAATCAAAGTCATAGGCTCAGCCCGGACTCGAGATGAGTGCGAAGGCCCAGCTGTGACTCCCAGGAGCTGAGGTTTCCTGTTTGATGAGGGTATCTCACTGGTAGTAGAGGCAGTACAGGGACGTGACGCTGTCTTCCCACCACCTTCTCTGTGGGCTTCGCCCTCTTGCCTCGGGTGTTAAAGTCTTCACCTGAGAAAGCGTCTCCAGGGACCACGTACTTTGACAGTGGGGCAGACACCTCTGTGGCCCCACGAAGCAGTGCCCATCCTACTCATAGACGCGCCCAGACGTTTCATCACCACCACCAGGTACACTTGGTATCCTGAGCCCTGGCCCACCACCTCCGACCACGAACATCGCTGAAGTCAGAGAGCAGTGGTACTTTTCAGGCAGAAGGTGAAGCTCCTCCAGAGGGAAAAGGACAGGGTTTCCCAGTCTCTCAAGTCCGGTGCGTCAGCCCGAGCCCAACCAGGGAAGTCCCTAAGTAGGGCACTGCTTCCCATGTTATCTCCCCTGGCAACCATAGACCTAAGAAAAAGCAAAGGAGGAGGAGGAAGAGGAGAAGGAGGAAGGCTTATAAATTTGGCCAAGGTATGAGGGGGGATTCAAAAGTAGAGATACTATTTCATGGATATTGCTCTTAACCGTACGGTAAGCACCATGCTAAGGGGTTGCCAACATTGACTTCCCTGGGAGAAGCCACCATCACTTTGTTTTACAGACGAGGGACTATGGCTAATGGACAGGGTGGGTGACTTTCCCTAGGACTCAGCAGTGCCAGGCTTTGAGGCCAGGTGACCTTCTGGATCCCAGGGGCTGACTAAGGTGCCCCGGTCACTGTCTTCCCTTCATTAAGGAACCCAGCTTTTTTTTTCTTTTTAGCTCAAAGTGGGGCTTTCCACCCTTCACGTGAGCAGAGGAGTCGAGCCCACATTCATTACTCCACCTAGCTTAGATACTGCTTCTAAGAATCAATTAATTAGAAAATCGTTCTTAGCTTGATCCTTCAAGTCTCCAACCAATATCTCTTTTTCTGTGTTTTCCTGTAACAATGCATGTAATTATCATATATGTGGCATATAGACACCGAGAAACATGACACATGCTTGTCTTCTCAGTTTGGAACATTTTGCCTAATGAGTATGTGACATTTATGTCACATAAAATGACAAATAGTGTTGGGAGTTAGATAGTTAGACAGGGATTCCCCCTCCAAGCTCGACAAACACAACAACCCCATAAATACAATCAGTAGTGCTTAAATACATAAGAAAAGCCAACAGAGGTGCATGACTTAGCTGAACGGTCATTTTTCTGCGGCTGGAAGGTGCACTGTGCACAGATGTTAAAAGCTGAGCACAGAACACAGTATTACCGATCGCTCCCTGGACACTGGACAGCAGTGTACGGCAGACATGGCCAGCGCTGGACACCTTCCCTTTGTGGATACTGGCCACGAATGGAGTCATTCTTAGTAGGATAAACATTTGCTCCCTGGAGAATGTTAGCCTAGAAGGAATGTTGATCCTTGATGGACCGGGCCACATGAGCCTCCGATGACCTCTACCGTCATAGACATCACCCTTGGAAGGAACTAGGTATGAGGGGACCTCACACGGAGTGACAGAGCCTCTGCCTTTTGTATCCTTGGTGGCCTGTGACCTGGTCTGATGGCACTTGGACGGGAGTTTCTGCCTCTCCACTCTTTCTGAGAGCCCTTTGGCCATGGCGGTATGGGGGAAGCAGGGGGTGGGGTGTGGTTACACCAAGAGGGGAATTCCTGTTGGGAAGACTCCAGTGGGCTCTCTGAACCAGACGCTGTTCTCTCATGCTCCCCAACCCTGGGCACGTCCTTGGCTTTCTCTACTGATGAGACGATCTGAGCACAGGAAGGTGGCTTCATGGCTTATGGGTCCTTAGGAGGGCCCTGTGTTTGCTTTCCAGCTCTCTTCTCGCCATCTTGAAATTCTTAAACACTCTAGACGGCAGACCCATGCGCTCATCGCATGCTGTGTCCCACAGATGGCAATAGCTAGTTGTGCAGCACAGAACCCTGGCACCTCAGTCGGCACCTTTACAGGCTTCAGGCTCATGTCTGTGCAAAGGGGGCCAAGAGACACGTGTCTGCAACTTTGACCCTGGCCTTTTCTGCTCTAGGGTCTAGACTCAATGGTCTGATGGGATCTACTTAGAGCTGTATGATCTCCCCGATTTATTTGCAATAGGAAAACAGCTGTAATGTAACAGCTTTTGGTGTTTCGGAGCACCCTTCTCCTTGGATTCTTAGAGAGCAGTGGCCCCACTCATGAGCAGTGACAGACGAGGAGGGAATGATGGTACCCGACAAATGAAGCCTGCCCTGGGCTGGTTTCCTCATTTATATGGTGACAAAAGTACTCGGTGCGGTTGTAAGGAGAGGAGGAAGGGCACTTCCGGGGCACCTTATTCTGTGACTGTCACAGTTTTTCATTCCATGCAAATGTGACTTCGAGGATGGAAGGTTTTTGAGACAGGGTTTCTCTGTGTAGTTTTGGAGCCTATCCTGGAATTCACTCTGTAGACCAGGCTGGCCTCGAACTCACAGAGATCCGCCTGCTTCTGCCTGCCGAGTCCTGGGATTAAAGGCATGCACCACCGCCACCCAGTGAGGACAGAGGTATTTTCACTCTGATTTTTCAGGCTCAGATAACTCACACAATTGATTTGTAATGAATCCAGGATTTTTTGTGATGAACTCTATGAATTCAAAACAAAATCTTAGCATGAAATTGGAGACTGAATATTCTAACGCCCCCCTCCTAGATGCCAGGATCTCTGGAAGGAGAGGAAGACCCTGTGAGTGTTTCTGGATGGCAGGAAGCAGAGAACAGCATTCACGTCCTTGCTCTGCCTGTTGGCTCCGTGTGTCTGTGTGGCCACCAGGTGGCACTGTGAGCCAGATGCCGCCCAGAAGCACTACCCGTGAGGCTTTAGGTCTAGGGCAGGCAAAAGGCTTGGTTGAAATTGTCCGACATCTCAGCTCACAGGATGAGGCTGCAGTTGGATGTCTGTGCCCCCACCCTCACCCCAAGAGCTTCATTGCTGGTTCATTTTTGTTTTTTTTATTTTTGTTATTGAGACAGGGTCCAATGCAGCCCAGGCTCACCTCCAACCCTGCTCCCCCAGACCTTCATGTAAGCCATGGTCCTGGCTCTGCCTCAGGAGGGCTGGCATCACTGGTGTGCCCCACCAGCCCCTGCTCCAGTTGCAGCCTGAGTGTTGAGATCTCTCTCTCTACACACACACACACACACACACACACACACACACACACACACACACACACACACACACACACACCGCTTCCTTTCTGGGCTTTATCCTTACCTTTAAGATTCCTGTGTATGGACAGGACTTCATAGAGAGATCTTGTCTCAAAAACAAAACAGAATTCCTTCCACAAGCAGGGCTTTGGGAGGGCCCAGACCTACTGGGTGACAGTACCATACTTCCCCCACTCCTACATTTGAAGCCTCTCCTGCCTGGTAAATACAGGGAATGGAACCCTCAGCTCCTTCTGCACAGAGTCCAGAACATTCCAACAGTGGGCATCCACCCAGCGAGTTAGCTATTCTTGCCAATAAGGTTACCACAGGAGATTTGTCAACTAGAAACCCTGGACTCTGTGCCACTGACCCCTCACCCATGAGCTTTCCTAGTGCCAGCCTCCTTGTTAGTCTACTCGTCATGAGCTAGGCAGGCCCTTCACAAGGCTTTCACTGGCTTTGAACTCTTCTTTAGCTAGGGATCCTGTTGTGCCCCCCGGCCAGCCCCCAGGGCAGAGACCCCAGGAGTTACACTTTGCAGTTCAGCACAGGGCCTGGCACAGTGTAGGGACCAGCCACAGATGGCTGTTTGGTGGTGATGATGGTGTTGGGTACCTCCTTAGACTGGCCAGTCAGGAGAACCAACCTGTTGACCACCAAAGGCCCACAGGAAGCTGGGAGTGAGCTATCACTGGAGTGTGCTGTCACTGGAGTGAGCTGTCACTGGAGTG